AACCCTGCAAAGAAGCACTAAAGGAAAACGGATTCTTTTTCAACAGAAAAGCTCAACTCTTGATTTACTTAAGGTAAACACAGCTTCACTTCCGAATGACGTCATCGCGCTAAGAACCACGTTCAAACGTCAGCGATCCAGTTAAAGATACAGTACATACAAATCCCCCAGTAGTAGGAGCTTATGGCCCCACCACCCTGTCCCAGCCACCCCAAATGCTCGGCCTAACCTCTGGCACCGGGATGCCAGAGCTGTGCGCCTCCCAGTCGGACCATTCATGGCTACAAGTTGGAGCAATGTTTCCTGATTCCTGATCAAGCGTTTACCGCTTTAGCCCTCACCTTCAACAAACGCCATCGTACTTGCATATCCTCTCCTTTCTTGTTTTTCAGAAGACACCTTCCACTTAAAGCAAACAAAAACCAACGAATCAGGCTGACTCGTCTACCATAAGACACAGTCACCCTTGAGTCCATTCGAGACCCATTCCACATACTCACCGTTTCAAAAACCATGAGTACATCCTCTCGGATCTCAAAGATCTTCAAGCCGCTCATCACACATCCAGGTTTGGCGTTCCCAGGTGCCTCGCAAATACCATTGTTAAACAGTTAAGTTGGTGTGCGTGGTCCTTGCTAGTGAAATAGGCTGTAAAGCTCCATATAGCTATAAAGCTCCACATACAAAAATAATTACCAAAAAAACTGGCGTGCCTACCCAGGTAGCCAAAATGACTTGGCCAGATCCAGCTTGAGCCCGGCACGCCGGAAGAAACATGTCGGGCAGAGTATGTTTGCCGACTTGTCTTAGATGGGATGAATGACGCTGAGAATCATGCCGAATATATTGGCCGGAATCCAGCGTACGATACTGCCGTCATCGTCAAATGTCGGGCCGTAATTAAAAAACAACTGGGCCCGCATCGGCCCAAACCTGGCACTACAAAGGAAACGCGTCGGCCCCTGTCCGGTTGCCGACCTGTCTGAGATTCGGGATGAATGACGCCCAAGAATCCGGCCGAATACACTGGCCCGAATCTGGCGTACGACACTGTCCCAAAAAAAAATGAGACCGCATTGGCCTATATAGGCCAATGCGGTCTCATTTTTTTGCCATATATATTTCATTTTTTTATATATATTATATTGTCACGGGAGGAGTCAGGACGCTACAACACGGAGAGAGTGTGATTAGTTCCCCCGACGGTGTTTATTGACATTTCTTCACAATACCAGGCAAGGCGGTGTACAACACATGCAGGAGGACGGTAGTGCTCCTCTTGCGGTCTGTTGTCGGGTGGGCCGTGGGGTCAACGACGAGCCCAGGTTTCCGCGTCGTGCGTGGGATGAATGCGTGCTGAGTCAGGCACTGGACAAAACAAGAGGGGTTAGAATACCTCGGTCTATATATAGGCCGGATATATATATATATTATATATATAATATATATATATAAATTATATATATATATTTTATATATATATATATATTATATATATAATATATATATATATATATATTATATATATATATATATATTATATATATATATATATTATATATATATATATTATATATATATATATATAATATTATATATCCCAGCCAACTTTGGGCGAGACACTGCGTACACCCTGGTTTGGTCGCCAGCCAATCGCAGGGCTAACACAGAGAGATACAACCATTAACACCTACGGGCAATTTAAAGTAAACCTGAAAGTCAACCTGATCACCAGAGCATGTCTTTGGACCGTGGGAGGAAGCCGGAGTACCCGGAGAGAACCCATGCAGACACGGGGAGAACATGCAGACTTCACACAGAAAGGCCAGTGATGGGTCTTCTTTTCTTTTTAAAACATTTACAAAGCCAGTTTACAATACTTTTTTTATTGTGTAGGTTTATATGAGAAAGACAACTTTGAGGGATGTTATTACATACATACATAGTAATATTATTTCTTTAAGATGTAATAAAATAAACATTGTAAATAAATATTGAAATGGCTGGAACAGATCTTTGAGGTGTGAATTGTCTTTGAGGTGAGTTGTGCAGCGACAATCATTTTTTTTTACATGAAGGCAAGATTGAGATGGGCCACAGGGTCCTCAGACTAGCAGGCTGGTAGTTTGGAGAGCTTCCAGCCTGTTAGCCTGACAACCCTTCCAGGTCGACTAAGATCCCAGCAGGGTAAACAGGTGGGCACGGGCTGGCGGGCTAAGTACTCTTCTGAGTTAAGTTGAAAGCTTGTTTGAGTGTTCAAAAGTTATTCCCTGGTGAGAACTGAGAGCTAAAAGCTTAAGAAATAACCGACCGCAACATCGAGGCTGCCATCCACGGTCACCTTATATTCGAGAACAGTGCACACTTTACTCAAATCCGCTGTCTATGTCCCTTAGCAACTTGACAGACAACTGATTTTCTTTCTCTTAACATGTCTCAGTCTGAATCTATAATGCCAGATCTGGCCGCTATCAACGGCCCAGAGTTTCAGAGCTGGTTGCCCGAATAGGGCCATGTCTGTAAAAGCTACATCTGGGCCAGATATGGCATAAATAAAATGGGCCAAAGCTGGCTCACATCTGGCCGCATCGAGCCAGAACACAGCCGAGCTAGCCGACACTCAGCCGCAATACGGGCGAGTCTGCTGGCTACCTGGGTATGAGCCACATCTCTATCATCACCGATAGGCGTTTGATCCACTAGGGCAGTGCCCGTTGGTCATTGGGAATGCATGCTCTTCCGAACAAGGGGACTTCATGGCTGTTGAAAGTGCTGTTTTTGAGTCATTGTCGAGATCTGCTAATTGCCTGTTGACTTTAGAAAAGTGAAGGAGAGCTTGGTAGTTCAGTTAATTAATTTCCCAAATTGCACCAACTTCAAAACGGCACATAATTTGGTCTCCCACAACATACCCCCAGGGTGTGAAGTAGATCTGACGAGTGGCTCTCTAGATTTGAAAAGGACACACAAACATAGAGAAAGGTTCCTTAACAGTCATATGCACATTTAGAAATACTTTGTGGTATTAAATAAGTAGCTATAATTTTTGTTAATTCAGCATGCGGTTTAGTGAGTAGGACTATCACTGCATTGTCTTTTCTGGTATGTACATGTCTAAAGAGGAAAAAGCAGTCCTTTTTATTGTTTGGTTTCTTTTAAGCATAGTATGATTTGAGAGAGAGACAGATTGAATGTCTGTTTTCTTTCCTCCTCCTGGCTCTTGGTTGTTCTCCAGCCGTGTGTTGGCAAGAGGATGTGGCAGGAACCATTAGGATGAGAAATGACAGTGAAGTCTGGGCCAACCTTCAGGGCTTGTATAGAGGAGAATCTTAACAACTACACACACTCAAAAGACCACACATATGCACACCTTTTTATAGAGCACCCGATCGCCATTCCCTCCTCACTACACACACTTTCTCACTGTGCCGTTGCTCTTTTGAGGCAACATTCACCACTACCGTGGCAAGTGTATTCAGCCTTGAACAGTTCAGAAAAAAGGTTGACCTTTTCATGTCTGAACTTCAATCTGCAGTGCTGATGTTATCCGCAGAGAGCCAAGTCGTGCGGACCAAACGGGAGAAGCACTTAGGGATAACAACCAGAGCAGACTTCTCCCTTCCCAGCTGTTTTACTGCCACCCGGCAATAGTGATCCACCAGAATGCAGACAATGAATCCACTGTGACAGCCCTCTTCAAGTCTGTATAGTCATACATCTTTGTAATCATTAAAGATCAGTGATAGTGGATTCTCTGAAAAAACAATGTTACATCCGCTTGGGTCAATTATTCAAGAGTAGTGATATCTGAGTTCATGGTGTATTCAGATTCCCACATTTTGTTCTAATTGGCATTACTTTGGAAAAATGGATGAAAGACTTCTTTAACAAAATTATCTCAGAGCCCCTGCCCTAAAGCGGTAATATCCTTCTCATCTTTTTCACCCTTGACCCGTTTTCATGCCTGTCCATCTCGCCATCAGTTTGTTAGTCCTTAGCCTGAAAAACGTTGAAGACCCCATACTGTAGTGTTAGTTGAATGCCTAGGAACCGTTGTTGGTGGGGGGAAATGTTAAATAAAGAACAGGGTTCTAACAAAGCGGTACTTGTCTGCAAGTTTCCCTATTCCATAACTTCTAGGGGTGTAACGATTCGATTCATGAACGATTTGGGTTAATTTACAACGATTTGATTCGATTCAGTGACTTAAAATCGATTCAGTAACTTTGCTGCAACCAACTTCTCTTCAGGTTAAAGTCGCAGAACACTTCTATGTGCGTTTACTGTATCCCCAGCAGTACTGAAAACTCGCTCTGCTGGCACACTGGTGCCTGGGATACAGAGGTACCGTTTAGCAAGTGTTGAAAGTAGTGGTAGCTCTTTTTCCTGTGATCTCCACCACTTCATGGCATTGTCAGTCAAAGGCAATGCATCTTTTGCTCGGTACCTCATCACCTCTGCTCTCGCTGTCGCACTTGTGGATTTCTTTTCTCTTTGGGTGAAGGAATCGCCAAACAGTATCTAAGGCCTTCTTCTTACATGGAGGTGACTCATTTGAAGCTGCAATATGATAAGAAATGTATTTTAAAAATATAGTCATGTTGTTCGATCTCATTAAACAATATTTTGTTGGTATTACATGAAACACACCTGTGGTCTCTTCCTGGGATCCTGACCGCTTTGGGCTTGAGCCTCCCTCATCTTCCTCCTCATTTCCCATTGCTGGTATCTATGGAAGTAAGAATGTGTGAACTGTTAAAATTTCTGCTCTGTAAGATTGCACACAGCAATTTAGAGGAGAGAGGTTAAAGAACAGATGAGAGTTGAGAGAGGACAAATGAAAGGAAAAGTGAACAAAGCAGATGAATGAGGTGAGAGGAAAGAGGAGAGGAGAAAAGAGTTACCTGTTGTGCCTCAAGAACCAGTTTTGCATAGACCTGTTCTCTTACCCGTTTTCCACCAAGGCAGAACTGGTGCTAGTTTGGAGCCAGAGACTAGTTTCAAATCGGTTCTTTGGTTTTCCACCACCAAAGCACCAGCTCCGAACCAGTAAAAGTGGTTCTTAAGTAGCACCATATCATTGCTGGTCTAGAAGTAAGAACCGCTTACGTCAGCGGCTGGGGGCGGGGTTACCGTGACCAACAAGACGAGAGAAACTTTGTGATCCGCCATTTTTCGACAGCAGCTGATCGAGCAAACAACAACGCAATGGACGCTACTAGGCAAAAACAGCACTGGTCAGACGAGGAAACAAGCTGCTTTCTTGCACTCTGGTCCTCATCAGAAGTCCAGAGTAAGTTAGATGGGGCTTCGCGGTCGAAACCGGTTTTGCAGCAGATTCAGAGAGAGAGATGGCTGTAGCTGGTTTTGACCGGAGCCTCGTCCAGATAACAAACTAAAAAAACTAAAGAAAGACTATAGGGACCAAAAAAAGGACATCGGTCAAAGCGGCAATGGGCGCCCTCGGCGATAGGCCGGCATGCCAGGTGACCTGGGCGCTGAACTCGGCCACAATAATGCTGGAGTCAATGCTGGATGATTCGCCGCAGCAAAGTTGCACTGATCATAGTAAGTTCAGTTTTTATTTGACTTGTTCTTATCTTAGCATGTTTCTTAGCTGTTAGAGCACTGTCGTCTTGTGTTTATTTCTATAGAACTGTCTGCCATCAACGACCGTGAAGACAACGCTGAGTTGCCGCCACCGCTGGGCTGCAGCTCTGGAGAAGCATCTTCAGAATGGGGTATGTTCAAATTATCACACCATAAACTATGCAAACATTGAGATGTGTCTGTAATATATATATATTATATAAAATGACACATTGTATATTACTGTCATGCACTGAAACATTGTTTTATATTTGTTTTTCTTCATTTAACTTCTGAACAGCAATGCTTTGTCAAAATTCAATTATTACCTTGAACGAAAAGCAAAAGTTTAGAATAGAATATAAAGTCAATCTGATATTAACTTGCTATATACTATATCATGTTGATATACTGTTTATTAGATGGCGCCGTTGATGGCCGCCACGGTGCTTCGGTGCGCTTCGTTTTTTGTTGTTTTTGTTGTTAATTACGTTTGCTGCTGCGATTCCCGGAGCTCTTTCACCAGAGATGAGCTCTTGAACATCCGTGGAACAACTCCAGCGGAGTTACTTCCAACTTTCCTGCTTTCTTCCGTGGAATTACTGGACATTATAGTCAAAGGTGCGCTCACCTTTCGTCACGCGGTGAGACGCCGTAGGAGAGGAAAGCGGGCCGGCTCGCTGGTGAGACTCCGCAGGCGTGGTTCTCGCACTCCGCTGCCGGGCATCTTTCTCTCCAACGTGCGCTCACTGTGCAACAAACTGGACGAAATTCAGCTGCTGATGAGGAGAGACAGAGACTTCTCTACATTCTCCGTCTTGTGCTTCACGGAGACGTGGCTCTGCGGATCGATACCGGACTCCGCGCTCCAGCTGGCGGGCTTCCAGCTGCTCCGAGCGGACCGCGACACGGAGCTCTCCGGCAAGACGAAGGGTGGAGGAATCTGCTTCTACTTCAACAACAGCTGGTGCAACGACGTAACGGTGATCCTACAACACTGTTCTCCTGATCTGGAAACTTTTTTCATCAACTGCAAACCATTTTATTCCCCCCATGAGTTTGCTTCATTCATCCTGGTCGGTGTTTACATGCCGCCGGCGGGCAACGTGCACGAGGCTCAGCGGACACTCGCCGACCAGATACGGCGTGTGGAGCGGACCAACCCGGACTCTTTAGTTATTGTCCTCGGGGACTTTAACAAAGGAAATCTCACCCACGAACTTCCTAAATACAGACAGTTTATTAAATGCCCACCAGAGAGGAGAACACGCTGGATCACTGTTACACCACAGTAAGCAGGGCTTATCACGCCATCCCTCGTGCTGCACTGGGACACTCTGACCACCTCATGGTCCATCTGATTCCTGCATACAGGCAGAAACTAAAGCTCTGCAAACCTGTGGTGAGGGAATTCAAGAAGTGGACCAGTGAGGCGCTGGAGGATCTTCGGGCGTGCTTTGACTGCACAGACTGGGATGTTTTCAGGACGGCTACTGACAGTCTGGATGAGTTCACAGAGGCTGTAACTTCCTACATCGGCTTCTGTGAGGACAGCTGTGTACCATCATGCACCAGGGTGAGTTACAACAACGACAAACCCTGGTTCACAGCGGAACTCAGAACACTACGCCTGCAGAAGGATCAGGCATTTAGGAGTGGGGACAAAGACTTGTACACAGAGGCAAAATACAAGTTTAGCAAGGCGGTGAGAGATGCTAAACGACTGTACTCTGAGAAACTCCAACAACAGTTCTCAGCAAGTGACTCTGCTTCGGTCTGGAGAGGCCTCAAACACCTCACCAACTACAAGCCAAAAAAACCCCACTCCATGAATGACCTCCGCCTGGCAGACGAGCTCAATGAGTTCTACTGCAGATTTGAAAGACAATGTCCTGATCCCATCCCCCACAGCTCCACCAACCTGCTGCAGTCCCCCTCCCCTCCCTCCCCCAGCCCATCAGGTGCTCACGCCTCTTCAACTATATCACCTTCCCCTCCCCCACCAGCAATGACCCTCTCTATTCTGGAGAGAGACGTTAACCGGCTCTTTAGAAGACTAAATCCCCGTAAGGCAGCCGGTCCGGACTCCGTTTCCCCTCACTCCCTGAAGCATTGTGCTGACCAGCTGTCTCCGGTGTTCACTGACATCTTCAACACCTCCCTGGAGACATGCCACGTACCAGCCGGCTTCAAGGCCTCCACCATCATCCCTGTCCCCAAGAAGCCCAGGATCACAGGACTCAATGACTACAGGCCCGTCGCCCTGACCTCTGTAGTCATGAAGTCTTTTGAACGGCTAGTCCTGACCCACCTGAAGTCCCTCACCGACCCCCTCCTGGACCCCCTGCAGTTCGCCTGCAGAGCCAACAGGTCTGTGGACGATGCTGTCAACATGGCCCTCCACTACATCCTCCAGCATCTGGACTCCCCAGGAACCTACGCCAGGATCCTGTTTGTGGACTTCAGCTCTGCTTTTAACACTATCAGGACAAACTCTCCCAGCTGCACGTGCCCGACTCCACCTGCAAGTGGATCACAGACTTCCTGTCTGACAGGAAGCAGCACGTGAAGCTGGGGAAACATGTCTCAGCCTCTCGGACCATCAGCACCGGTTCCCCCCAAGGCTGCGTTCTTTCCCCTCTGCTCTTCTCCCTGTACACCAACAGCTGCACCTCCAGCCACCAGTCCGTCAAGCTCCTGAAGTTTGCAGATGACACCACCCTCATTGGACTAATCTCTGGTGGGGACGAGTCCGCCTACAGGTGGGAGTCCGACCATCTGGTGTCGTGGTGCAGCCAGAATAACCTGGAGCTCAACGCTCTAAAGACAGTGGAGATGGTTGTGGATTTCCGGCGGAACAGAGCCCCACCCTCCCCCATCACCCTGTGCGACTCCCCCGTCACTATTGTGGATTCCTTCCGTTTCCTGGGCTCCATCATCACCCAGGACCTCAAGTGGGAACTGAACATCAGCTCCATCACCAAGAAGGCTCAGCAGAGGTTGTTCTTCCTGAGGCAGCTGAAGAAACTCAACCTGCCAAAGACGATGATGGTCCACTTCTACACGCCCATCATCGAGTCCATCCTCTGCTCCTCCATCACCGTCTGGTACGCTGCAGCCACAGCCAAGGACAAGGGCAGGCTTCAGCGGGTCATCCGCTCTGCAGAGAGGCTGATCGGCTGCAATCTGCCGTCCCTGCAGGACCTGTTCGCTTCCAGGTCTCTGAAGCGAGCTAAAAAGATCGCGGCCGACCCCTCCCACCCCGGACAAAAACTGTTTGTGCCCCTTCCATCTGGGAGGAGGCTGAGGTCCATCAGGACTACGACCTCCCGCCACACGAACAGTTTCTTCCCGTCGGCAGTCGGGCTCATAAACAGAGCCTGGTCCCCCACTGCCTGACTATAACACTCCACCGGTCACTCCCCTTCACACTGCACATGCCACTTTAACTGCAATTCATCACTTTGTCACTTTGTCACTTGTTCGTTAGTGCACTTTATGCTTAATATTTTTCTTTTTAACTTTTTAATATTTAAATTTTTTAAACTTTATTCCCTTGTTTTATACTAACCCATAGCCTTAGCCTTATTCTACTAACCCGTTGCATTAGCATTTCATTCCACTTTATTTTATTACTTGTGCACTGTTGTCTTGTCTGTCTACTGTCGCGCACTAACCGCCAAGACAAATTCCTTGTATGTTTGACATATTTTGGCTAATAAATGTTTCCTGATTCCTGATCCTGCTTCCTATTACGGGACATGAGCAAAATCTGAAGTGATATTGATGTAGTATGATGCTATACATTTTTTTTATATAGTCAATATAGCAGATACATATCCGTAATTCTCTGCTGAAAACAACTATTTGCGATGCTATGACAACACCTTGACGATCTGTATTCGTTTTTTATTATTATTGTTCTACACAGGAAAAAGGAAGAGAGATGGTACCTCGGAAATCCTTCAATATCTGGAAAGGGCAGATGAGAGGTTCCAGCAGCACAGCAAGGCAATGGATAATGCCTTTTCTCAGGACATGAGCGCGGACACACAATCCCTGCTTGGACTCATAGGGCGCATGGTGGCCGTATTGGAGGCACAAGTTAAAAAATAATTTTGGTTGCCGCTTTTCATGTCATTTAAATTTTTTTTTTTACAATTGTTGTTACCTACAGAACTTTATTTTTTTATAAGATTTCTGTTTTTTTTTTGTTGGTTTAAATAAACATGTTTAGTAATGCAAATATCTGGTCCAGTTTCTTAAACACTTAACAGGCAATTATTGCGTTATGGTTTGTGTTTTTAATGCAATTTACTTTTATATAAATGTGTACATTTAACAGCCATGTGATGCGATTAGCTGCATATACAAATCTATATTATTTCGACATGAAATATGATTAAAATCCAAATTACTTCATGATTGGAAGTTAATAAAATCTTGGTTATAATCCCGGCCAAAAGTGTGAAAGGGTTGTTGATTGAGGATGATTGATAAATGCAAGTTTTAGAGATTACATGGTTCATTTAATGGATGAGAATGTAATACAATTCAAAAGTGTAGATTTCAATAAACACAAAGTGCAGTGTTACAAAATCATTCAAAGACTCACTCCTTCCCTCGGTTAAAATCCACATTAATGCAGCTCTGATGTCAGCCCCTTCTGTGTTTGCCCGCTCAGGTATTGTCTGACAGTAGGCTCTAGGGGTGCAACGGATCAAAAAACTCACGGATCGGATCATTTTTCGGATCAGCAAAAAAAAAAAAGACAAGACAAATAAACATAAGTTTTGTCTTTTTGTTTATTAAGACTTTTAAATTATTAAATTGAAATACAGTATATAAAATCAACTTAAAGTGCACAAGGCATAGTATCTTCTTGTTAACATAATTATTGAAAAACAACATGAAGTGCAACATAAACATGGACCAATGACCACCATTAATAAAAAACAACGTAAAGTGCAACATAAGAAGGCACACCATCTTCCTTGAAACATGGATAGTGAAATAAAGCCTATGTCCACAATCACATCATCACAGAAGAATAAAAGAAAGAAAGAAAGAAAGAAAGAAAGCAAAGCATACCTGAGCTTATAATTTCAAATTCTTTTTCAAAAAGACAAGGATGTCGACATTGTCTGGGGAGAGTGTCGACCTCTTTGCAGTCACTATGTCCCCTGCTGTTGAGAACACTCTCTCGGAAGGAACTGAAGAGCCTGGCACAGCGAGATAGCATCTTGCCATCTTGGCAATATGAGGGTATTTACACTCATTGCTTTTCCACCATGTCAGTGGATCATCATCCACTGTAATGCCGCTTGCTGCCAGGTAGGATGCCACCTCCTCTTTGATGATGTCAGCAGGAGTCATGCTGTCCATGTCTTTGCTGGCAAAGGTCTCTCCTAAAAGCTCTGCCATCGCGGACTTCTTTTGTGGAGGAGATGTGTCCAAGTTTGCTCCTGTTGGCTCTGCAGCTTGACCCTGCAGAAAAAAATCAGTTGATTAATTAAACCTATTATTTATTTTCATGTTTCATAGACATGACAAATGTGGCAATAACATTTAATAAAAGCCATTATCACTGAAAATAAAAAAAATATTTAGATTTAAATGTATACTTTTTAAATAATATTATTTTTCTTTACCTCATCACAGTCTTCAGTGCCCAGACTGCTCACAATCTCAGTGGTGAGGTCAGTGCATGTCCTCTGGCGTAGGGCAGGGTCCATGTGAGACAGGGACTGAACCTCGGATCCAGGGCAGTAGATCTGTGAAGGTAGTCCTGTAGAGTAGGGGATGAAGTGTATCTGGGCTGCAGGTCCTCTCTAATGGCAGTCTTGACATCTCGAGTGATGGTGCGGTCTTCCACACTTGGAGCCATGGATTGTAGAATCCTTGTTTTCAGCGGCAGGATCATTGACACAGATGGTGAAGTTTCAGTGCTCAGCAGAGATGTAACAGTTTTGAGTGGTTTAAGCACCTGGAGGACCTCATCTGCCACTCTCATGTCATCATCAGACAGGGTGATGATGTCTTGGTCAATGCAGAGTGTATAGCTGCCTGCTGCTCCAGATAACGCTCCAACATATACTTAAGCGGAGTTCCACCTTGTTGGGACATCATGTATGAGCTTATGAGTAGGCAGCTTTAGCATTTCTTGCTTTGTCTTAAGCACATGAGCAGCTGTTGTGCTTCGGTGGAAGTAGGAAACCACCTTCCTGATCCTCCCAAGGAGGCGGTCCATCCTATTGACTGAGATTCCCTTCTGTGATGCCAAATTCACTACATGTGCAAAGCACCCTATCTGTGGGCCCAGTCCTGCCTCATTCACTGCATTTATTAGATTTTTGGCATTATCAGTTGTGACTGGGATATTACTAGTACTGGGCCTCTTTATCTTCCATTCCTCCACTGCTTGTGTCAGTACCTGCGCAAGATGAGTGCTTGTGTGACTCTCGTAGAGGGGCCGTGTCTGCAGCAACGGACTTCTCATCTCCCAGTCTGCTGTGATGAAGTGAGCGGTTATCGTCACATAGCTCTCCGTTCACCCGTCTGTCATGAGCGCAACAGAGGATGCTCGGGACAGTTCATCCACACCTTTTTTCTTCTCCTGCTCATAAAAATCTGGCACAATCTTTTCGCTGAAGTGGGTTCACGGAATGTCGTAACGTGGCTCAAGCACTTTCAGCATGTGTTTAAAGCCCTCGTTTTGCACAACCGAATATGGCCTCATGTCTGCACCTATAAACACACCGATAGCGTTTTTGATGGCTTTAGCCCGGTCTGATTGTGCAGCAAGGGGCTGCTTAAATGCCGCGGTGATAAGCGGTTGTTGAGCAGCTTTAGTTTTCACACCGGGGTGATGTTGCTTCAAATGCGTGGCCATGCTTGATGTGTTTCCACTGTCATATGGCTTTCTTGTGCCACAGTGCCTACACACCGTCACGGTTTTATCCACTAACCTCTTTCCTTCATCATTATATTTGACAGGGAAGCCAAAATGCTCCCACACAGGGGATTTAAATTACGCGGGGCGTTCAAGCTCCTCCGTTCCTCGGCTCGCCATGACCACGCTGTGTGTGGACTGAACATGCGCACAACTTTTTTTTTTTTCAGAAATCCGCGGATCACGTGTGTGCCCAACCGAAGATATTGATCCAAACGGATCACGGATCAATGATGATCCGTTGCACCACTAGTAGGCTCTATGTTGAGAGTCCTGTCTGGGTGCTCTTCACTAAAATTATCACCATGTTCCTCACAAATGTTATGGAGGACACAGCAGGTCAGTGCCATCCTCTTGCTAAGCTCTAGCTTGCAGTCGTTTCTTTTTAGGAGTCCTTTTAATCTGCCAAAAGACATCTCCACAACCGATCGTGCACTGCTACGCCTATGTGTGCTGTTCAGGAGTCAGTCTGCCAGTGTCGCAAAAGGGCTTCATGAGCCAATTCTGCATGGAATATGCCGGATCACCGATCAGGTAATGTCCAACATCACAGCCTGAGATAGTCACTTTGTTTTGCCCCAGTAATTCCCGTCACTTAAGGCCTCCCACCAATGTGATTGTCGTAGCACTTTGGCGTCATGCACACTCCCTGGATAGCCAACACAAACATCCGAGAATAGACCGTTGCCATCCACAACTGCTTGCAGAACAATAGAATGCCAGCCTTTACGATTGAAATAGTCTCGTGGATAGTCCTCCGGTGCAATTACTGGAATGTGGCTGCCATCAACTGCACCCACACACTGTGGAATTCTCCAACGATTATTAAAGAAAGTGGCCATTTCTAGCAACTTTTCAGCATCAGGAAATCTTATGTGGATGGGAAGGAGCATTGTGATGACTGTGTTGCAGAATTCCTGAACACAATTAAATACAGTGCTGAGGCCTACTCCAAAAAGATGGTTTGTTGTTCCAAAAAATCTTTCAAGCATATCAAATAAACTGTTCCATCTGGTCATGATGTCTTGAGTCAGTTTATGGTGGGGTAAATCCATCAGCTTTTGTTTTTCCCGTAGAACGTCACATGCAATAGGGCTGCGGTGAAAATATCCAACCTTTTTTCGCACTTTCCCCAACAACCTGGAAGCACGGTCCACCCCCAAACCCTTCTGTGAAGCCAGGTTGAGCGTATGTGCGAACACCTCCGTTGTGGGCCTGAGAGATAAACGCCTATCAGAACAGTTACAATGGATTCTGAACTGACTACAAAGCAAACCGGTAAAGAAGCAACTTGAAATGCTGAAAACAAACTTTAAAGCAGAAGCCAACAACACCCAGCTAGACAGTGTGCATTCATGACAGCGCAGCAACTCAAAGCAAAAGCAGCAGCAGAGTAAACAGACATTTTTAATTTAGTGTTTAAGATGGACACGATGTCACTGCAATCCCTACAAAACTGTACGCCCAGGGCCAGTTCAGTAAACTATCCAAAGCCACAAAGATTCTTTACGGGCCACGAGGGACGGCATTAAAGGTAGATGGAAAATTCAAAGTGACTCTTAGTAAGTTCTATGGAAGCACACAAGAAGAGGTCTATGTTGTTGAGGGGCTACGAACACCACTTCTGGGTGGACTAGCCACCATGACACTTCAATTGGTTGCTCGTTTGAATAATGTAAGCCTGGATACCGAAGAGACTGTAAAGAGTTTCCAAAGCTTTTCTCTGGACTAGGGAAAATGGAGGCGGAGTACACCATTGTACTGAAGCCTGATGCAGAGCCATTTTCCCTCTCCACATCACGACGCTTATCCCTCCCACTCATACTAAGAGTAGAAGAGCTCATTCGCATGGAGTGATTTCAAAAGGTGGAGGAGCCAACAGCATGGTGTCCACCCATGGTTGTGGTGCCTAAGCGCACCGGCAAAGTTTTTGCCATTTGATTAATGGTAATTTTTATAGCACAGAAACCGCACTGGAAGGAATAGAAGGCCATTCGTAATTTGAATGGCCTTCTGCATCGTACCAAGGACTCATCTCATTTCTTGTCTTGCTGGACCTCAGTGCCGCATTTGACACCATTGATCATTAAATCCTGTTGCACAACATTTGATCCGTATTAAAAAGGAACCTCACGCGGTCCTATATATCGGATCAATCCCAGTTGGTGCTTTTAAATGGTGAATCCTCGATGACCACCAATTTTGAGTCAAGGGCGACT